AATTGGAACAGTTGCCTCGTATTCTAGAAATTAGGTTTGAGTGTGAAGTCCAAAATGAGGTTTTATGCCAGACATATTGCAGCCAGGGGCGTGGATAAGGGGTACCACTGATCCTCCTGTACAGGGCCCAGGCCAGCAGGGGGGCCCAGGCAGCTGGATGAATTAGACATGGGTGGGGAGGGTGAGCGCCATAGCAGGGGGGAGGACAATTACTGGAAGCAATCCCCTGTATGGCTCTCTCTGCAGCAGCTGAAAGCTGGCTTGTTCTCCCTCCCCTCCCGCTGGCTTTTAGCTGCTGCAGAGAGCCATACAGGGTATCTGTTCCAATAATCTCCACCGCACCTATCACCCTTCTTGTGCACCATACGTTTCCCCCTGCTTCCCAGGCCCCCCTGTGTACCCCCTAACCCCGCAGTGCTGCTGACATCCCTCCACTTCTCCCCACGGGCAGGTGCAAGCACACAATAGGATTGTTCAGGATGGAGAGTGGGGGGAAGGGTCCCATAAATATGTCACATTTACCAGCCTCTTTCTTTCCTGAATGTACTCAATGAGTGATTGGTACCAATTACTTACTGTGTTCATTCATAACTGAAGCATAGTACACTGTGTTTTTTGGGGGCCCATTGAGGTTGGCTGTATGAGACTGTGGTTTCTAATAGCAGCCCTGATTGCAGCAGCTGTATTGAACACTTTTCAGGGAATGTACATTGTCCCCTTCAACAGGGTTTCTGCAAGTAAGAACTTGAATTGAAAGTTTAAACTCTGTGTTTTAAACACTCAGCACTACTTCAGCAGCTGATGGGTTCAAAATATAGAGTTTACACTCTGTGTATATTCCCTGAAATGTGTTGACTGCAGCACCTGCCATATGTTTGGAATAATAAAACCTCATTTCAGACAGTAAAATCTTGGTGTGGCGCTTTGATTTTCACACGCACACATTTTTACTGCTATCCAGGGCTCTGTTAGATAGATTTCCGTCATTTACTGTTGCCAATGTGTTTGCCAAATAGGAAATGAATGGCTATGAATAAGGGTTTTTTTTAACCAAAACTTATAAGCTGCTGTAAATTGCATACTCTACCCTTTATCAATCAAATACTTTTTCAGGAGAACGAGTTGCCAGCTCTTCACCTTATACTCTCAGGAAAGGTGGAAAATCTGCAACTAGGGCACAGACTGCAATAACAAGTGTAAAAGGAGTTCTAGCAATCCCCTTTTACACAAAACACATTTTTATTGCTGTTGGTATTAGAGATCTTACTTTACTTCCTGAATGATGAAACTATTGTGACAGGACAGTAAATGAGGTGATATGTTTCTAACGAAGCCCCGGACATAATTGTAACAAGGGTTCTAATTCCTACCCACTCCATCCAAAACTAAAATGAAAGTGTGGGCTTGACATACACATCAATGTAGAACAGACTTTCTCAGATAGGGTTCCTCAAGAGGTTTCTAGGGGTTCCTTGAGCCTTGAGGTTCTTTGAGTTCCTTGAGGTTAATTATCTGCCCATTTGATTGTTCCAGCATAGTACTGGGGCCAATTCCACCTGTCAGAGTCATTGCCATGACATCAAAGATCTTTTTAGCTGTCTGTAAGGGTGATATTCTGACCACTACTGTAAAGGGGGACATTCTTTCTACTGGCCACTAACATAAGGGGCATTTTTTTTCCACTGGCTCCCAATGAATTAGTTTTAGTAGGAGGTCCCCAAGGCCTCAAAATTATTTCAAGGGTTCCTCAGGGGTAAAAATTAGAGATGAGCGAATCGAACCAGGCGAACCGGAATTCGATACGAATTTCAGGAAAAATTCGATTCGCGTCGAATCCGAATATTTGCCTACTTCGGGTGCGCGAATCGGATTTTTCCCGATCAGCCGGCAAAAGTGTCCCTGCAGAGAGCTCCGCTATTTCTGACAGTTCTCTGACAGAAGGAACACATGTACAGCGGTTGAAACATTGTATCTATTAGTTTCCATTTAGGATACAGATGTTTCAACCGCTGTACATGTGAAGAAGCTGTCAGAGAACTGTCAGAAATAGAGGAACTCTGCACATACACTTTTTGCCAGTTTGGAATTCTTATTTTCATCCTACTTCTTCTTCTTCTACTTCTTCATCCTCATCCTCAGAAGAAGAAGAAGAGGATGAGGATGAGGATGAAGAAGAAGAAGAAGAAGAAGAAGTAGGATGAAAATAAGAATAATTCCAAGCCGGCAAAAAGTGTATGTGCAGAGTTCCTCTATTCTGCAGATACACTTAGAGGAGCTCTGCAGATACACTTTTTGCCGGCTTGGAATTAATCTTATTTTTCATCCTACTTCTTCTTTCTTCTTCATCCTCATCCTCAGAAGAAGAAGAGGATGAGGATGAAGAAGAAGTAGGATGAAAATAAGAATAATTCCAAGCCGGCAAAAAAGGTATGTGCAGAGTTCCTCTATTCTGCAGATACACTTTAGAGGAGCTCTGCAGATACACTTAGAGGAGCTCTGCACATACACTTTTTGCCGGCTTGGAATTAATCTTATTTTCATCCTACTTCTTCTTCTTCTTCTTCTTCTTCATCCTCATGCTCATCCTCAGAAGAAGAAGAAGAGGATGAGGATGAAGAAGAAGAAGAAGAAGAAGTAGGATGAAAAATAAGAATAATTCCAAGCTGGCAAAAAGTGTATGTGCAGAGTTCCTCTATTCTGCAGATACACTTAGAGGAGCTCTGCAGATACACTTAGAGGAGCTCTGCACATACACTTTTTGCCGGCTTGGAATTATTCTTATTTTCATCCTTCTTCTTCTTCTTCTTCTTCATCTTCATCCTCATCCTCATCCTCAGAAGAAGAAGAAGAGGATGAGGATGAGGATGAAGAAGAAGAAGAAGAAGAAGAAGAAGAAGAAGAAGAAGAAGTAGGATGAAAATAAGAATAATTCCAAGCCGGCAAAAAGTGTATGTGCAGAGTTCCTCTATTCTGCAGATACACTTAGAGGAGCTCTGCAGATACACTTAGAGGAGCTCTGCACATACACTTTTTGCCGGCTTGGAATTAATCTTATTTTTCATCCTACTTCTTCTTCTTCTTCTCTGCAGATACACTTAGAGGAGCTCTGCAGATACACTTAGAGGAGCTCTGCACATACACTTTTGCCGGCTTGGAATTAATCTTATTTTCATCCTACTTCTTCTTCTTCTTCTTCTTCTTCTTCTTCTTCTTCATCCTCATCCTCATCCTCAGAAGAAGAAGAAGAGGATGAGGATGAGGATGAAGAAGAAGAAGAAGAAGTAGGATGAAAATAAGAATAATTCCAAGCCGGCAAAAAGTGTATCTGCAGAGCTCCTCTAAGTGTATCTGCAGAATGTCATTTATGGAAACAAATAGATACAATGTTTCAACCGCTGTATGGAGGGAATGTCCCAGAACTGTCATAAATAGTCTATTTCTGACAGTTCTGGGACATTCACTCCATACAGCGGTTGAAACATTGTATCTATTTGTTTCCATAAATGGATCCATTTATGGAAACAAATAGATACAATGTTTCAACCGCTGTATGGAGGGGAATGTCCCAGAACTGTCAGAAATAGTCTATTTCTGACAGTTCTGGGACATTCACTCCATACAGCGGTTGAAAACATTGTATCTATTTGTTTCCATAAATGGATCCATTTATGGAAAACAAATAGATACAATGTTTCAACCGCTGTATGGAGTGAATGTCCCACAACTGTCAGAAATAGACTATTTCTGACAGTTCTGGGACATTCCCTCCATACAGCGGTTGAAACTGCTGTATGGAGTGAATGTCCCACAACTGTCAGAAATAGACTATTTCTGACAGTTCTGGGACATTCCCTCCATACAGCGGTTGAAACCGCTGTATGGAGGGAATGTCCCACAACTGTCAGAAATAGACTATTTCTGACAGTTCTGGGACATTCACTCCATACATGTCCCAGAACTGTCAGAAATAGACTATTTCTGACAGTTCTGGGACATTCCCTCAATACAGCGGTTGAAACCGCTGTATGGAGTGAATGTCACAGAACTGTCAGAAATAGACAGAAACTGTCACAGAACTGTCCTTCTTCTCATCCTTCTCCTTCTTCTCATCCTTCTTCTCATCCTTCTCCTTCTTCTCATCCTTCTCCTTCTTCTCATCCTTCTCCTTCTTCTCATCCTTCTTCTCATCCTTCTCCTTCTTCTCATCCTTCTTCTCATCCTTCTCCTTCTCCTCCTTCTCCTTCTCCTTCTTCTCATCCTTCTTCTCATCCTTCTCCCTTCTTCTCATCCTTCTCCTTCTCCTTCTTCTCATCCTTCTCCTTCTCCTCCTTCTCCTTCTCCTTCTTCTCATCCTTCTCCTTCTTCTCATCCTTCTCCTTCTTCTCATCCTTCTCCTTCTTCTCATCCTTCTCCTTCTCCTTCTCCTTCTCCTTCCTCATCTCCAAGGGCATTTAAATTAAAGGTACAGTGTTCTGCACTAATTTAAAGGCTCTCTGCTTAAGCCAAAGTGATTGAAGTCATGTGACCTGCGGCTAGCATCTGCATATGATAGCTGATAAGCAAGAATTTGGAGCCATTCAGACTGCCACCCTGCCTAATTTCTAATTAGCTTTAAAGTATATCTAACCCCCCACCTAAAGAAAATTTTAATAAATAGCAGCTTATCAGTCCTTGGACGTGGTAGCTGCATTTGTTTTCATTTTTCAGGCAGTTATTTCCTTTATTTTTACCTGGTAATCCGGTGAATATTGCAATTCCCTTTTTAGGGTGGCTATGCTCACTCACTCCACGTAATCTATGGAGGGTGCCATGATTGTCAGACAAACTGTGTTACAAACATGGCTTTCTCTTTTCATCTTCATTAAATGGAGATGGGGGATTAGTAGTGTACAGAAGGTCCACTTAATGTACAATATAATTTGTTTGTGATGGGTTCACTTTGATAAACAGTGTTCTTACTAAATTTCATTCTAACTGTTAACCCTATGTATGCCTTACAGGTGATGAGAAGACTTTAACAAAACTGAGTGACAACCACTCTGCCTTCCAGGAGACAGATGAACGAGGATGGACTCCACTTCATGAGGCTTCAGCTCAGAAAGATAAGACTATTTTAGAAATAACATTAAAATGTGAGTTTTTTTCCTATTTTTTAATTGTGAATACACAATATGGAGATACACAGATATGTTAAGTCTATCTAGCTGAAATTTCATTGACCACTGACTCACCACCTGCATGTTTATATCTCTTGGAGACACCAGTGGCCAAATCTTCCCAACAGCTGTCTGTGCACTGGAACCTTGCTTTCCCTCCTGCAGAAGGAGCCTCACTTTTCTTGCTGCATTCTTTTGCAGAATAAACGATGGGTGAGATTAAGTGCCATGGCTGCAACAGAAAGGCAGAGCTTGGAATTCAGGTACAAAGGTTTACTGTTGCAGCCCCAAAAACATAAAGTTTGTAAGTGATTTTATCCACTTTGTCTCCCAAAAACTGAAGAACTTTTTATGGGTGGATTGACCTTGACTAGTGCACTCGTGATAGGTTCATCCAGACCCCCACTACACCACCGTTACCCTTTACCCTTCCATACCAATCCCCTTTACTTACTATACTTACAGAAAACACAACACCAATTTTGGAGTAAAATGGCCAGCACGGCCTTTTATTAACAAATCAAGTTTAAACACATCAACCATTCCTTATAACAGAAAACATAAAAAGTTGTCGTTGGTCTTTGAAGGCACTCCCAAAACGATCCAAAATGCACCTGCGGACAACCATATTCCACTAGGCCTCCAGCCGCAACCAACCAGCTCGGAGACAACCATACCGTCCGCAGTGCAGCACCACCACCTTCCAGTTAAACCTCGGTTAACTGGGAATGTTCCCGGGCACACCATACCAACGATGGGTCCCACACCATTTTGTACCTCCAAGATAAGAACCGCCTCCAAAGACCAACCACCACCCAGGAACCAAAATAACCCCCCCCCCCCGAGGAGGAACACAACATTCACCAAACAGGGCGGGTGGGAGGGAAGCTCTCTCTCCCACGTCCAGCTCCCAACTGACGCCCCTCCCCAGAACACCCCACCCTAAAGTGCAGGAGACCCCACCTACACTCTCCTCTACCAACCAGATCCCCCAGCTATCCTTTACCAACTCTAAACAATCATTAACCCTCACACGTCTTCCTTCACACTCTGGGCCTAGTCATGCCTGCCCTTCGCTAATTCTTTTCTTCTTTCATCGCTGCGGGCATTTCTTGACTAGTGCACCCGAGATAGATTCAACCAGACCCCCACTACACCACCGTTACCCTTTACCCTTCCATATCAATCCCCTTTACTTACTATACTTACAGAAAACACAACACCAATTTTGGAGTAAAATGGCCAGCACGGCCTTTTATTAACAAATCAAGTTTAAACACATCAACCATTCCTTATAACAGAAAACATAAAGAGTTGTCTTTGGTCTTTGAAGGCACCCCCAAAACGATCCGAAATGCACCTGCGGACAACCATATTCCACTAGGCCTCCAGCCGCAACCAACCAGCTCGGAGACAACCATACCGTCCACAGTGCAGCACCACCACCACCTTCCAGTTAAACCTCGGTTAACTGGGAATGTTCCCCCCGGGCACACCATACCAACCATGGGTCCCACACCATTTTGTACCTCCAAGATAAGAACCGCCTCCAAAGACCAACCACCGCCACAGCACGCTGGGTGAGCCCTTACCCATGTGTGCCACACAACAAACAAACCCCTCCGAACTCCATCCTGTAGACCCAGAGACCATAAATCCGATCCATCCGCATTCAGATGTACCCCAGCACTCCAAAGATACCTCCAAGTATCCACCTCCAGCTCCAGATGCCGGACCACCAGCCCCCCATTACGGATAAAGAAGCGCCCCACCTCCTTGTCGACCTTCAGATCATTGCCACCCCGCAGGAAGCACCAGGACATCCAGTGGGCCATCCCATCGATTCAAACGCTGCCCCTCCTGCAGCACACGACCCCACAACATACCCGGCACACCCATCCAGCCCCCAGGACAATACATCACCCAGACAGGACCGACACTCCCCCCAGGCCATGACAACAGAACATGAGACCCCACCAGTCCCCCAACAGATGCGGACGAACGCACAGTCGAAATCTCCGTGAATCCCACCTACCAATACGTGTGAACCATATCCAACAAACCCCGTAGCAGCCCCCATCCAAAGCGAATGCGAAGCACACAAGGACGCATCCAACCAGCCGCCTTTAAACACCGTCCAAAAACTGACACAAAGGGAAAGTGAAATAAGAGGACCCCTCAGCGCGCTGGAAAAAAGGACCCCTGCCCCACCGGACGATAGGATAGAAAATCTGGCACCGCACCCACCGGGCACACATGAGATGCTGGAAGAGCAAAAAACCGCACCCATGCACCACGCCCCAATCGGTCCGTCCCAGACCGATGGACGAGCACCTCCACCCCAGTAAACCCAGCACATGACCTCATCCCCCAATAACCCCCCAATAAACTGATTGAGACGGACTACCAATCTCACCAAAACGCAATGCCCCAAAAAAGCCACTGCAAAGGCCGTCCGAAACAAACACCTCGAAGCCCGAAAGACACACAGACCGCAGGTGCACAAACCAAGACCCTAACAACTCAACGGACACCGGACGCCGCAAATCCCTTCAGCGATGAGCCCTACGGGAACCACGCAGGGCCTGTCGAACCCAAAAAGACTTTCGTGAAAACCCCGACACCCCCGCAACTTAAGAAGAAGGCCAAACCAGCCAACCGGCAATCCAACGCAGCAGCCGACACCCCCCGCTCTAATTTCCATGCCAAAATTACAACACAGCGAAAACCCAACTCAGGCCCCCATGGATCAATATTGACCCTCTGCAGCAGGTCCACCACTCCCACCAGTCAAAATGCACCTGCGGACAACCATATTCCACTAGGCCTCCAGCCACAACCAACCAGCTCGGAGACAACCATACTGTCCGCAGTGCAGCACCACCACCTTCCAGTTAAACCTCGGTTAACTGTAATGTTCCCGGGCACACCATACCAACGATGGGTCCCACACCATTTAAGTCGAGTATGCAGACCATGTTGCCTCACTCACCGACTACCGGATCCAGCCTGCAACGACCCCAAGGCAAAATCCCACAGCCAGTCGGGACAAGGAACCCCGCGGTGCTCCTCCCCCAGCGCCAACCCTCAGAATGTGTCCCACTGAAAATGAGACAAAGCGACAGCCAGAGTGTGCTCAACCCCAGGGAGCCGCACAGCACGAAGAAAAATGGTCAGCTGCGGGCAACGCCACACGAAATGGCGAAGCAGGCCAACCACCGGCTGCGAAGAAGCTGAGACCCGATTGACGACCTGAACCACCCCCAAAATGTTACACCGAAAATGAACCCTTACTTCCGAAAATTCCTCCCCCCACACTGCAACCGCCAGCACCACCGGAAAAAATACCAACAGCACCAAGATACGAAGAAAAAACCCCCCGCCTCCCGCCAGGAAGCAGGCCACGGAGCCGCACTCCACCGACCCCGGCAAAAGGCCCCATATCCCACGGAAGCCGCCGCATCCGGGAACAAATCCAGGTCAAAATGGCTCCCAGGGCCAGACATCCACAGAGCTCGCCTGTGGAAGGAATCAAAAAAGGTGAGCCAAATATGCAAGTCCGCCCGATCCCCAAGTCAAGCAAATAAAAATGTAAAAGGGGAGGTACCCCCACCGTCGCCAATCGGCGGCAGAACACCCAACCCATCGGCAGTATACGGTAAGCGAAGGTAAGCTTTGCCCAACAACGACTGCCAGGCCCGCAGCTGAAACTTACGCTTGCCCAGCACCCCACGAATATCAACTTGTAAGGCCAACAGCTTGTCCTCAGGCAGCCGGCACTCCAAAGCTCCTGAATCCAAACAATGTCCAGGAAAGTAATCACCGAAGCCGGGCCCTCCGTCTTGTCCAACGCCAGCGGAATAACGAAACGTTGTGCAATGTGTTGCAAAGTGGCCAGCAAAAACTGCACATACCCCAGAAGCTGGCAGACCCACACAAAGAAAATCATCTAAAAAACGGATGACCGCATTCACCCCCGAGACATCCCGCACCATCCACTCTATGCACGAACTGAACTGCTCGAACAAAGCACAGGATATAAAAATACCCCATGGGAAGGCACTTCACAACGGAAAACGAGCCCTCCCAACGACAACCCAAGACACGAAGACCGTCCGGATGTACCCACCACAGCCAAAACGCTGACTCAACATCCCATTACGCCAGGAGCGCACCGCGCCCATACCGACGAACCCAGAAAACTGCCGCCTCGAACACGTATAATACACCGCACCCGACTCTGCATCGATGGCGTCGGTCACCGACCCCACTGTCAGGAAGGACAGGTGAGGAATTAACCGAAACGCATGAGGCTCCTTTTTGGGCACAACCCCCCAAGGGAGAAAAGAAAACGGGCCGCCCATGCGGTCTAACCCTTATTCCTTACGCAACTTAGCCGAAACCACCTCTGCATACTGCAAGGCCAACCGTGAGTTCCGCGCTAAGAGGAGGAATCGAAGTCAAAGTACACGGGATGCGGAAACCCTCCGAACAAACCTTGCCACCAGCAGCACGACGGGTGCCTGATCAGGGTATCTATTTAGGAACGGCCGCATCCTTTTCACCCTCCCTGGCATCGTCCTTTATACCCGCGCTCTTCGGAAAGGTCTCTACCCCGCTTGAAACAGCGCCAGAAAGAATGGGTGTCACCGCACCCGGAACATTCGTGCTTAAAACGGCCGGACCCTCCGAAACGACAAGCACCCCAATGGAACCGCCAGCAGAACCCCTACGCTTTGAGGCCGATTGTCCCGGGGAGAACGAACCACCGGCCCACCGGCCCACCCCGAAAACAGACCAGAGGGCCTCGCGGAGTCATAAGCCGCATCCTAAGGCCACGGACCTTACGGTCCCAGCGCCACAACGGGTGAACCGCCCTACGCTGCCGAAACTGTGCATCGCACCGTAGCCCTGCGATCCCCCCTAAACCCAGTGAGCCTTGCTAATAGCGTCAAGGAAACAGAAAAGCGCCGAGCAATGCTCAGGGGCCGTTTCCCCAATGACACTGGCCACAATCGCGAAAGCCTGCAGCCAATTAGCAAAAGCACGCGGGATAAAACGAAAAGAATGCCACTTCTCCGCGTCCTCCCGCCTGCCCTCGTCAACCCTCGACCCATCGACAGGCAGCCGCTCCAAGATCAAGAGCGTGAAGATCTCGACATACACACCTCACCCAATCTACTCTCGTACATCCGAATGTCAATGCGCACCAACGGGCCCTCGAACCACACGCACACTGCGAAACCGCCCGGCCCTGGCACCCCCCGCACCCTCACCCAAAACCGTGGATGGGGCCGCCAAGCCCAGAGCACTGGACACCGCCGTAACCACCCCTGACCCTAACCCGGGGAAGCAGAAACACCAGGCCCCGTGCGTCCCCATTATCCTACCCTAGGCCCCCGCAAACATCCCCACCTGCAGGCAGGAATCACCCAGAAGCAGGCCCAGTGCCCCCACTACCGCCCAGTGCAAAGCTCCGCAACAAGTCCCCAGCCGGACCACAAATCGCAGACCCCCGCACCAATTTTTTTTTTTTTTTTTTTGTTAATGGAGCCGCTGCTCCATGCTGCCAGGGGGCCCGCCGGCTCCAGCACCAGACAGCCCGGCAGCCGCAGCAGGACATCTCCCCCCGCCGGGCACCCTCCCTGACAGGTGCCTTGTCAGCGGAGGAGCCGCTGTCATCCCGTCCTCACTGCCGTGCGGGCGGGGGGGGGGGCTTCATCCATGAGTGACCCCGCCCCCAAACTCAGCCAAAGACAAGGATTCCTCCCGGCCTCCCCGGGAGCAGAGGCAGGAGAGCGCCCTGCCAGCGGGGGCCGGAGGGTCTGGAGTGGGGCTCCCATCGTGGAGCCGAGCCCTGGGGCTTGTGGGGAGACCGGGGGAAGGCTCTCCGGAGGCGCAGACCTCCCATCAAATGGGCGCTCCCGCCCAACTAACTCTGATGAGCCCGGGTCCTGCAGAAAAGCAGAGACCCGGCTCTGCGGCAGGCCCTCCCCCTGGAGGCAACAGGCCCACCCGTCCCTCGCATGGCCCTGCCATGCAAAGCCATGCATAGCAGTGTGCAGGAGGCAGGGGCGGACTGACAACCCATGGGGCCCCCGGGCAATAAGGGATCATGGGTCCCCTGTGTCCCTGCCCAAAATTAAAAAGCCTACAAAAAAGGGTACCCGGGGGATCCCATGGGGCCCCCTACTGACCTCGGGCAGTGCCTGACTCTCCTAAGCTCTCTCTCCCACGTCCAGCTCCCAACTGACGCCCCTCCCCAGAACACCCCACCCTAAAGTGCAGGAGACCCCACCTACACTCTCCTCTACCAACCAGATCCCCCAGCTATCCTTTACCAACTCGAAACAATCATTAACCCTCACACGTCTTCCTTCCCACTCTGGGCCTAGTCATGCCTGCCCTTCGCTAATTCTTTTCTTCTTTTTTATCGCTGCGGGCATTTCTTTTAAAGTATACAGTAAGCCTAGATGTCTCTTATTTGGTACCTCTATCTTGACAGGATTGGGCAGCAATCAGGCAGTGTATCAGTTATCAGAGATGGCCTAGGACTTTCCCCAGGATTCTGCACTAAAATAACAGACCATTGGCTATGTTGGAATTGTTTATACATTCCTCGGTTGTTCTCCGCACCATTGTATTGCAGCACAAATATCTCACTGATCATGATGTTTGTGGTTTTGTTAGCCTTGTCATTTTAGTATTATTTAGAAGCAACAATATATAAGGTGGAATTCCTTGTTAAGAATGTAATTTAAAATGTTAGACCTTGCATTTAGGTAAACTGATTTAGGACTTAATCAGGACAACAAATGGCATTTTATATCTTATTTCAGCTTCTAGTTACGATATTTGGGAGCAGGAAACCTTAAAAGGTGAAACCCCACTGTTTCTGGCTGTGGACAACTGTAGACTAGACAACATCACCTTCCTGCTATCCAATGGCTGTGACCCTGATGCTAAAAATGTTACAGAGGATTCACCCCTTGTTATAGGTAATGAACATCTTTAAAATTATATATCTAGTGGTATACAGTAAATATATAATTATTTCTAAAACTGCTTGTTGTTTGTTTTTCAGCGATACGTCATGGGTCTTATGATATTGCATCTTTGTTGTTGCGTCACAATGCGAGTGTAAACTTACCATGTGCTGATAACAGAACTGCTCTCCATGAGGCGGCAAAACTGGGCCGCAAGGACATAACGCGGCTTTTGCTCCAGTCTGGAGCTGACCCAGACTGGGCCAGTAACTTTGGGCTTACACCACTGGCCTTGGCTGCACAGCATGGACATACAGATGTCATGGAACTCCTCATTCAGAAAGGTAACAAGGCTTCTCCAGCACACTATTTACAAACATGTATTGATCGGATATTTAAGCAAATACCCAAAACCATGGGTGCGGGTTACTAAGGAGATGTTCAAGGTGTAATCACTATCACAGTAGGAATGTTCTGGAAGCATGCCCAGTTCATTACACAATCTACAGTATATTCAAAGGCTTCTGGTGTCATCTACTGTAGCAGAAGGTGGACTGGAGTATGTGGGAGTGATGAATTCTATTTGGAATCAGTACAAAAAAGTGGTTCATGTATGAAATGTGGGGCCACTGCTTTTGGGCTTAAAAGCCTTATCTGGGTGTCTGCATACCATTCACAATGGACTTCTGTAGCTTATTGCCCAAGGCTTCATTGTCTTCTATGCCCCAACGTGTTCACGTTTGACAGGTAGATCACAAGTGACCTGTTGCCTGTTGACCCCATTCTAAACTTTCCCTATTTTGTGCAGGTGCTCCTCAGTAACTTATCAAATGATTCTTTAATGTTTCCTTAAAAACAAACAGTAAAATCTGATCAGATGTAATGTCAAAATCGGATGTAATGTCCCAGGAAACAGACATTTTACTGCCCCCCCAAACATGAGCAAAGTCATAAGGCTCCCTCCAGCCACAATTGGCTTCTGCTTTGTACTACGGTACATAGAGCCTGGTGTTCGTCACTGCTGGGACTGTCACACACTCAGGGTAGCCAGAATCCCCTTATCTCTATCACCACTCCAGGAGCAAGTGGGAATGCAAGACAGTGCACCCCTGAAGAGCCCTCATCTGTTCCAGCAGCTAAAGTCTAGCTGTTAGACCCAACAGGAAGCCGGGGACCGGCAGCCCAATACTGTGACTCCGGGAACCACTGATCTAGACCCTTAAGCTAGCCATACACCAGTAGACATTTGTTTGAACTTTAATACAGAAATTCTGAAAATATCTTTAATCAGAGTATTCGATCTTGCCATCACTGGGTCAACTAATTTCATTTGAAATCCCTTAAAATTTCATCCAGACCTGCTACACACAAATGAAAGCCACATTTACAGTTTATAGCTAGAATTTCTTCATTCGAGAAACATTTTGCATCCTGTTCCTTCGAATTTTCTCACCCTAGTATTAGAAAGTGATCATTGATTTAGCTATACTAACCATTAGAAAATTCACAAACCTAAAAACGAACATTTCAAATGAAATTTTACTATTGTATGGCCAACTTTAGTCCAGACTTTGACACAGCAATGTACTGTAGTGTTGAAAAATCAATCGTCAAGGCTTCCAGATGGTTCTAATTTTGCAGCCATGACCTACAACAAGACTAAAAGAGGGAGAACAGAGCCATTACAATGCTCTGCCTATTTAACAGCTGCTGATATAAAACAGACACAGGAATTGATTTTAATAAATCAGAACATATTTGTGGTTTACTGTGCTTGAAGTGGAATTCCAGCTTAGTCCTATCTAGTCTTAAAAAACCATCTCCTCCCCCCTCCTTACACCTATGCTAACTAACCTGTGTAAGATGTACAGTATATACCTAGCTATTTTCAGGCGCTCTGGTCTGGTCATGTAATCTTCCTTGTATCAGCCAGCGCAACTGCAGGGGAGAGGAGAGAGCGCTCCAACAACAGCTAGTACAGCCTGGAATGGTAATGTTACCCATAGGATTCAATGGCCCTCTCTCTTCTTTCCCCTGCAGCTGCGCTGGCTGACAAAGGGAAACCGAATCACATGATCTGCTGCTGCCGGAATACCCAAGCAGCGCGAGTGACTGCATCTGATTGGATGCATCTGCTGTTTACCTGACAATTTTCCACCCAACTCCTTTGACAAGTCAACTGAAAAATCTACTTTTTTTGAACCAAGCATTGCAGACAGGGCCACCCATGAAGGGAAATTAGATACAGTTACATCCATATATATTTGGACACAGGCACAATTTTCATACTTTTGGCTCTGTATGCCACCAGAATAAATTAAAACAAAACAATCCAAATGAATTTTAAGTGCAGACTTTCAGCTTTAATTTTCAGCTTTAATCCAGTTAAAGTGTTACTAAAGGTTAATTTGTGTTTTTTATATTAACATAAGAAACCTGTTATACTCACCTGCTCTGTGCAATTGTATTGCACATAGCAGCCTCAATCCTCCTTTCCTTGGGTCCCCTGCCAGCGATCTTGGCTCTTGGCTTAGCAAGCTTTTTCCTATGGAGGCACACAATGCATGCTCACTCCTGAGCTGTGTGTGTCTATGGACTCCCACACTTCCACCTTACTGCTTTTGATTGACAGCAGCAGGAGCCAATAGCTGTTAGAGTGCCCATGTGAAGAGGAAGAGAGTGGAGAAGAGATCCAGCAATGCACAGTGCTGGATCTCTTCTCTACTCTCTCCCCCTTCACACAGGGAAGGGTGAGGACAGAAAAATATAAAAAGTTTTCTTACCTTAATGCAAGGAATGCATCTAGGTAAAACATGTTTTGGCTTTAGAACCACTTTACAGGAAAATTTAGATTTTACCTGGGACATACACGCACAGATTTTTAATTTCAAGTGACTGGCATTCTTACCTAATATATGCAACAAAACACTTTTTTTGCCCCCAATAGGAGCCAGTGTCATGGCCCAGGCTTCTGATTCTGCATCGATCCTCTTTGAAGCTGCTGCTGCTGGTAATCCTGATGCTGTGTCACTACTCTTGGAATTCGGAGCCAACGCCAATGTACCAAAGCACTCCGGACACTTACCTATACACAGGGCAGCATACAGAGGACATCTCTTGTGAGTACCAGGACAGGGGTTTACCAAAGGTTCATAGCCTGACCACCAGTGCCACCAGGTCCCAACAATCTATCTTAGTATCCCAGATAGAGTTTTTAAAGGAAGTGGCTGAGGATGTTTTTTGGTATCATCACCCCAACAGATAAGGCTGCTCGGGGCTTACCAAAGCATTCTGTACAATTTTATATAATTTGTTGGACTTTTTTTGGAGTCTGGCGCAGATTTCCATTGACTTCAACAGCTTTGGAAATTTTTAATTTTGGAGGTTCACATATTTTTTTAAAAAGTTAATGGAATTACAACAGATTAAGTTCAGAAGTTTAGTTATCTTCTAGCGACCAAACAGATGTCATCATGTACCTCATGTGACTAAAATAAAAAGAACAGAACTAATGTGCAGTGTCTCCTAACAACCAATTAAAATTCACTTATTTGAAGTCAGACCAGTACAATTCTGATTGGTAGCCATGGGTACTTTCCTCCTTACACCAGTTTATTGAATATAAATAGTATTAATACGTCAACATTAGTATTAGTATTCAGTATTAATACTTTCAATTAATACTGAAAATAGCAAAGAGATTACAGATCAGAAAGTTAGAATGTAGACAATATTTTAAAATAATATTGCTTTTATTTATACATATTAAAAGCTATTAAAAAAAATTACAAAAGCAATACATTTTTGAATTATTGCTTTTGAAGTGTCTACAAGCTTTAAATTGGAATTGACTGCTTTAAAACATTGCACTGTACATACTGTATATCTTACAAGAGGTGTACAGTGCTTGTATAAATAACCAAGATATACTATTAAGTCATTGACTACATTCAACACACAACTTACTAATCTCTTTTCTATGACATATATCTGTGTAATATAATGTGAACCCTCTGTTTTTTTTTGTTTGTATAGTTTATGAAGATATATCTAATAAGAGGATTATTATTTGACTCTTCCACTATTAAAAAAGATTTGCCTGGAGTTGGGATTTAAAGCAAAACTCGGGAAAAAGTAAAAATTGCAGCGGGTCTGCCACTTGCACTGCAAAGACTAAATGCTTATCTATGTCTAGAGGACCGGTTAAAGCAGTTTTCTTGGCAGCAACATGGCAGCATACTACCACATGTATATTGCCATAGATTGACACCAGGAAAGGTAAACTATGGCAAGTATTTGATATAATTTTCAATGTGCCAATATGGCAGCATACATATGGTAGCATGCTGCCATGGATTGATGCCAGGAGAGGAAAATTAAGGTAAGTATTTGATGCAATGTTCTATTTTACTTACCTGATCCTCCACTCCCACAGGCTCCCCTGTGCTACAAGAAAAGTCCCTTCAACCTCTTCTCTCCTGCACTTTGGAGGTTGGATGGCCTCTGACGTCTTCAAGACTGAGGTAGGGCCTATACCCCTGCACTGGACATGAGGAAACGAGGAACAGCCAAATCTTAGGGGAGTGGAGGAGAGGGAAGTAAACCTGCTTTTCCCATCCCCTAGACATCGGTGAGCATTTAAGCCTTGCAGGGTGAGTGGCAGCACCACTGGAAAAGAGGATATTTACTTTTCTTGGAGTTGGGCTTTAAATATAAATAGGTAATTGCTTTTGGTTTGTTGAAATGTTTTTTAAAGGAAAAACACTACAAAAGAAAATTGGTCTCAAAACTGAATGGTGATATCTGTTCTGTCCTTTATTTACAGAGCTCTGCGGTTGCTGATCCCAGTTACAGACATGACTGCAATAAAAAGAAGTGGCATAAGCCCCGTTCATTCAGCAGCAGCCGGAGGACACCCTGAGTGCCTAAAGCTTCTCCTCAGATCTGGATTTGATGTAAATTTCATGCTGGCCCAGAGAGTCCGCAAGGGCTATGACGATGAGAGAAAGTCTGCTCTGTACTTTGCTGTTTCAAACAGTGATATTTCCTCAGCTATGCTTCTCCTTGATGCTGGGGCTCTTCCAAACCAAGACCCTGTTAACTGCCTTCAAGTGGCATTGCGAATGGGGAACTACGAGCTGGTTAACCTGCTGCTCCGCCATGGAGCTAATGTGAACTATGTGTGCAGAGTCAATCCCCTCCACTTTCCTTCAGCCCTACAGTATGCTCTCAAGGATGAGGTCATTCTAAGGATGTTGTTGAACTATGGATATGACGTACTCAAATGTTTTGAGTGCCCTTACGGGAATAAAGTGCACTATATATATGGGTATGAAGGATGGACTCCTGCTGTCATCAAGGATACAATGGTACAGTCATATAAGACAAAACTTGTGCATTTTATTTTGTTTCCTGGTGACAAAATAGATTGACCAAATGAAGGCAAAAAAACTGCTCACAGGTAGGCTAGATATAGAGGAGCTGATGTATTAAAACTCAGTAGAAGGAAAAGTAGGCTTGGGGTCTAGGGAAAACATCACTGTCAGAGTCTGATGACTGCTGGAGACCATGCACCAAGCTTACAACCTGTGATAGGCTAAAATGTTCAAGGATTCAGCTGCCAGTTGGAGTAGAACATCTTATGTGGACAAATGGTACCATGATAACTGGGTGCAGTCAGGGCTGGTGCTACCACTAGGCAAACTAGGCAGCCTCTTAGGGCACAGTGCCACCTAGAATGCAGCCATGGCTGCTGGTTTGCCTACTCCCCACCATGATCAAATATATAGGAGGGTGATGGGGTGAGTACTCATGGCTGTGGCAAGGGGAGGGCAGTCTGGTGCAGTGAAGCCTGCAAAGTAGAAATGACAGGAAAGAGCCTGGAGGTGTGGGCTGTGCTCTCCTCTCCCATCAGTGGAGCAATTCTCCAAAAAGCAGATGATACAAGATCGCTCTTACAGTGGCATGTTCAGTGTTTGATTCATTCACTGGCACCCTGCTGCCGAGAGATGAGCGGTCATTGGACGAGATAAGGGGTGGGGTAATCAAACTGTGTACAGCCAGATCCAAGAGCAATCCTGTGTCATCTGCTGTATGGAGGATCATTCCACTGACAAGTGAGAGAACAGCACAACCCGCACCTCAACCTGGTTTCCTGCTTGTAAGTTTGGAGGGGGGGGGGGGACAGGTTACATACATGGGGGATCTGTACACAATGAAAGGTAGGGTGGGAGGGAGGAAGGGAGGGAGGGATAACAATTATTTGTGCTGAGATGAGAGCTTTGTGCAGGAGGGGAGATAGGGGCTGTTTGTGCTGGGAAGGGCAATGGGGAGGATGGAGTTTGTCCTAATAGAAGGAGTAGGGGGATATGTGCTAGGAGTAGGAGGGAGGCTGGGGGGGGGGGAGAATTTGTTCAAAAAGGGGGGAGGAGATTTGGGTAAAGTGGGATGATTTTATGCTGGGAAGGGTAATTTGGAGAAGTTTTAGCTAGAGGAGAAATTTAGGAGAATTTGTCCTAGGTGGGGGGAGATTGAAGGAAGAGGATTGGTGCGGGGAGGGGGGATTTGGGGGGGCATTTGTGCTAGGAGAGGGAATTGGGAGAAAATTGTGCTAGGAGGGGGAATTGGGAGAGGTTGTGCTAGGAGGAGGGTTTTGGGTGGGGAGGAAGGATTTGTGCTGGGAAGGGTAATTTGGAGGGGGTTGTGCTAGGAGGAGGGATTGGGGAGTTTATGTTAGGAGGGGGGATTTGGGGGATACGATTTGTGCCAGGGTGGAACATTTGAGGGTGCAAGAGGATGTGTGCTAGGAGGGGTGAAGTAGAACTACAGGTGAAGTTTTATTTTTTTGGGGGGGTAAGGGTGCAAGTAGCTGGTCTTGCCTAAGGCAAAAATAGTCTAGCACCAACCCTGGGTGCAGTGGTAAGAACTTCTCATATGTTCAGTACAAAAGCCCCAGCAATGACTCCAAGACAGAAAGTGGATGCAAATAGTAGAAAACAATAAAAAAAATGCCTAAAGTATTCCCACAAAGAAAATCATTTAGGACTCATTAACACAGGATGTAAAAAAACGCCACTTTTACAGGTGTTTTGTATTTTTTTTTTTCAGCCTGCAAATGCACCTCTATGTTAGCCTATGTGGCCATGCCCACACAGACGTTTACAGGCATATTAGAAAAGGAGCTTTTACATGCTAAATAAAAAACATCACTTCTGAGCTCTGGAGAGAAGTGGTTGAGCAGAAAAAATGCTGAACACGTGTAAACGTGTGAAAATGCATGTAGATGAGCTTAACTGCTAGCTGCATTTAGTGCTTGAGCGTTTATTCATTCCAGTGGCCAGAATAAATTAATATTCTGATCACTGGAATGAATGAACACCAAAACACTTGTGCCTAAATGAGTCTAAACGCACCTAAATTCATTTGCAAAGAGCGGCTTTAGTCATGTTTTTATAAGCTGCTTTTTGCTCCCCTGGATCAAAGGCATCCAGGGGAGGAAAAAAAAGTCCAGTGTACATTATGTCTCAATGTATAACCATCATGTAGTGGTTTAGAATCTTTTAATTCGAAGTTAGAATTTTACTATATTGGTGCCCTAAGCAGCACTCCTCTTCATTTATACAAAACATTTTCCTGTGTTTTTTGGTCCTACCCTTAAGGTTAAGCCATATTTACATGCAGGCCATATCACAGATGTTATTGTAAGCGTTTATGTCATGACAGAAATACGTGACTGCCATTGCTGACCTCCTGAAAGTTCTACCTACTTAAAGGAGAACTATAGGCAATTTTTTTTTCATGAAAAAAAGCAAATTAAAACAGCGCAAATAATACCTAAACCAATTAAATATTCCAAACTGGATACATAAATGTGCAAAAAAATGTGTATGTAAGTGTGACACACTCAAATCAGAAAAATAAATAACTAAATAATAAATGAATAAATGTGCCCAAAACAACTCAATTCATTGAAAAAAATAAAATATATAAATAAAATAAAAAAATAAGTCCAAAATCCTTTTTCCCAGCCTTCAAAGTGCTTAGACAAAAGAAATGATCTTCTGTAAATGTGTGCTTCCACTTTCCACCAGTGCAAACCAACATAAACCGCACTCACCAGATACTAGTGAATAATAGGCCTTTTAGGATTTTCAGGGATCCTACACCCCCTCTATAGCCTCCAGACCTCCATTCCACCATACAGGGCTAGCGTAGTCCTTCCACTCCCTCCTAGATCAGGACCTCAAACCAGCTCCACCGTTTTTTTTTTTTTATCTTGGATAGAGTAAAGCCAGCCATAGATGGTTTGAATCCTGGCCAGTTCAGCAGAGACAGACCAATATTTGAACGATCTATGGGCAGGCTAATTTTACCCAATTCGATTGTTCGACTTGGGTACAACCAAAATGTTAGATTCTTGATGCGATGATTGCCAGCGGCTATAGCTGTTTGCAATAAGCACTGTATTCTCCTGGCAGGGATGATGCCCCCCCCCCTGGGAGAACTGGGAGAACACAATAGCTCCGTGGGAGGGATTCCCTATCAACATTGATGGTGTTGATGGGGAAATTGCATCATCTATGGCCGGCTTATGGATGAGTTATAACTCCTGTCAGTTTTTTTTTTTTGCCACCTGTGTCCCATTGAGGAGATTTCCCCTCGTTTCCTTTACCAAACTACAACAGCTGTTGTATGATACCAGATACACACAACTGAATGTTCAATTTTCCTCTTTGCATCGTTTTGTTTGAAACATTTTCTTTGGGTTTCTTTTTTTTTTGCAGTTTAACATCTTTGATTCCCTTAAGTTTCTTTATACCTTGACGTGATCCTTTTTTTTTTTTGTAAAAGCAAATATTCCCAAATACTCTACAATTTCCGAGAGTTTGCCTCATTTGTGTCATTACCAAAAAAATTATGAATGGACATACAATCAGTCCTTTCATGTCTGTGACTCTTGGTGGTATAGATCCAGGCAGCATATAGAAGGGGATGTAAACTGTTACTTACGCCTGTCATTTTCCTTTGTCTAGTTCTGCGAGGTCATAACCCTTACTTGGCTCCGGCACCTCTCTGGTAATGTGGTCCGAGTCATGTTAGACTATGTTGACCATGTGGAGTTTTGCTGTAAATTGAAAGATACTCTTATGAAGCAGAAGCTCTGGCCTGAGATTCCACCACATAACAAGTGAGTAATATTTAGAATATATTGTTGAAACTTGAAAGTAACAAGTAAAAGAGAGACACCACAGTTATTCCATTCTTAATATGTCTCCTGAGTGGGTTGAAATCTTTTACTTGTGCTCAGCTGTTTGATGTCCTCCATGCAGTATATGTTTCAAGGCGTTAATAATTGTATTTTTCAATTTTACTGTAATATGGCCTGGACCAGAATACATTGTTCTGATATCTTTAAAGCTGATGGATGATGGGTGAGGTCTGGTATACATGCACAAATCCCCTCTTCAGTCTGAGCTGTATTAACCAATGGGGCTCAGCCAATGTACACTGCAGGGTTCAAAACCTGACAAAGAAAACTTATGGCAACAGTTTGTGGAAGGCCATTTTCTCTTACGGCATGACTGTACCACTGTGGAACAAAGCTGAGTTCTTAAAAGAAGTGGTTTGTTGAGTTTGGTGCACCTTCTCAGAACGCTGACCTCAACTCTATTGAACACCTATAAGATAAACTGAAATGTAGATTGAAAACCAGGTCATCTTGTTCATCATCAATACCTGACCTCTCAAATGCTCTTTTGGTTGAAAGGGCATAAATTCCCACAGACACACTCCAAAACCTTGTGGAAAGCCTTTTCAGAGAAATGGATGGTGATGCCAGTGTCAGTTAGTGTCAGATTGCCTGCCGTGCTATCACAGTCCCAGTATAAGTTGCTGATCACTGCCATTACTAGTACAAAAAATAAAACAAAATACCAGTATATATTCCCTAGTTAGATTGGTTTGTGTGAAAGTTAAAGCATCTACAATGTACACTTATTGAGATATTTTTTTTTATCAAAGACATGTAGCAGAATGCATTTTGGCCTAAATGTATGAAGAAGTTAGATCTTTTAAAACATTTTTATTGAATATGTTTTATAACAGAAAGTAAAAAATATGTTTTTTTTCAAAATTTAAATTTTTTTTTGTTTATATAATAAAAAATGCAGTGGTGATCAAATCCCACCAAAAGAAAGCTCTATATGTGTGAAAAAAAAGATATAAATTACATTTGGGTGCAGCGTTGCCTGACCATGCAATTACCAGTAGCACAGTGTTGAATAGCAAAAAATGCCTTGTTTGTGAAGGGGGTAAAACCTTCTGGAGCTAATATGGTAAATGCCAATGGTTTTTTTTGGAATGGGAAGTCCAAAAACCTTTAGGTGTCAAATGTTTGCACAACTTGTTGGCATTAAAGTATGTTTCTTCATGTCCACAAGATCATTGGTGGAATTGTACATGATGAGGAAACATTTACACATGTGTTGCTGACAAAATACTGACATCATTGTATGACACAGAAAATTATTAGTCTTATATATATGTATATAAAATGATCACATATCCTATTTGGAGATCTCTCAGACATTATGTGGTGTTTTTTACAGCGAATCCACGCTCACTGAAACATCTGTGCCGCGTGAAGATTAGAAAAATGTATGGGTCGACTTCACCTGCGCTGTCCTGTTTTTATGTCATTCCTTCCTCTACCAAATCCCTTGAAGGACTACATCTTGTGCAAAGAATATGACCTGTTTGGACAAGGGAATCTTGCACGGAACTGGTGAAGAGCCATTCACCATGATTGAAAAAAAATGGTGGAATTCTCTTACTTTGCCAGAAAGCCTTTGTAAGAGTAAAACACAGAAAATGTGAAGATGGAGGACAACTCCTTTTGGGAGTATGTCAGCTTGCACAAGGACCTACAGTGTTTGTTATGTGTGACTAATGGTTATTGCTTGGCATGATTAAGCAGCCATTTGGAGCATTCAGTTTATAGCAGTCCGAATGGGTTTTATTGTTTCCTCTTCTGCCATAGAAACAGGCTATTCTTAAATGCACTTCTAACAATGCAAATTTCTTTACAGATGATTCCTCTTCACTGGCTAGTACTAATGACAGTGTCAGTGTATATAAGGTAACATAAAATGTCACTGTGGTTTTGGTTGGTGCTCCAGATTTTGGGAACTGCTGAAAAAATTATGTGGTATGGGCTATTAACAGTAAGAGGGTTTAATGCATGTACTTGGAGCCCACGTATAGGGATTGATACTCATCCACCTCTTACCCACTTGCCTCTAGCTCAAGGGTTTGTTCACAAGATGCCTCCAAAGAGTGCTTCAGAATATGTTTCCATCAAACAGAAGCACAGTTCCTCATCTTTCTTTTATGCGAAAAAAGAATTATGGATACATTTATAGTTGGGATGTCTCTGGCATCCAGGGTAAACTTAATTTTGGTGGTGGATTAAACACAGAGGTCTCCATTAATTATGTCAGTGGGTAATAGAATGGGGAATCTTAATTGGCCCCAGCTCCCTCCATGCCAGGCGGGGACCAATGCAATCAATAACAATGAAGATGGCTATAGGAAGGCTAATCTTCAACAAATTAGGTAGAACTTGCAGATACATGATCTGTAATGGATCTGAATACAGAACAGGCCACCAAGGAATATCTGGTTAGCATTAATGACCTCTTCATATGTAGTCATTGTACAGCTGCTTTTCATGTGTCATATGCAGTTTTGGAAGTTTGGCTCAGTGTGATCATTTGTATCAGCCATTCTCAAACTTTTCAACACAGAGGAACCCTTGAAATAACTTTTTGATCTCAGGGAAGCCTTGCTAATAATTATTGTATCTACAGTTCATGATACATTAACTTGATAATCTCTAGGAAGAAGGCTTTTCACATTTGTGGCAAGTAGAAGAATGCCTTCCCCTATAGCTAATAGATCATTGGTTTCAGGATTACCTGTCTTAGAGGCAGAAATTGTCCTTTGCTTAAGGAATCCCTATCAATCTCTGGCCAGGAATCGTGGCTGGGAAAGGATGTTTTGGAGTCCTACACTTTTTAAAAAATCCATCTACAGTATCTAACTGACTCTCAGCTAATATCTGACACTCGGACATCTTGTTTGAAGCAGATAAGTGGGTGTGTGCGTGTATGTGATTGGGTATGAATTTAAATGGAGGTGTGTCTAGAAACAAAGGTAAACTGATTATTCATTTCTGTATGAGATTTGTGTTTCTACTATAGTGATTTCGGTTAGACATGGATGGATGATGATGTTTATTGTCACAAAGCATTGCTGGTGTGTTTACTATGGCAAAGTTCCATGTTACCAAGCAAGAAGGAATGTAGAATAACGATCTCCTCCCTCTTTAGAGAGGCAAAGCTCACACTCAATATGAATACACAAACTGTAAGAAGAATCACCTTTCTCCTTCATCATGTAAAATATTTTAATGAAAATCTAATGATAACCTGACACAATTCAGGGATCAGTGTCTCATTTCTCAGGGCTGATTGCTCTGTGATAACATTTCTAACAAAACAGCTTTTAGCAGAGATCCAGCATGAACCAATGTAATAGCTGATTAGTCAACTTGTACTGACCAGAGTGCAGTCATTGTGATTTTTTTTTTTCTATACACAACAGTCAGTCTTAGAAGAGATGCAGATCTCAGAAATTTGACTGGTTACTATTAAACTTCATGGTTTAAGAGACCATTGCATCTTACAATCTCTTAATTTGCCTTGGCCATGGGCTGTTTCCCTTTAAATAGACTAAAGCACCTTGATTCTATATTCCTTCTCATCAATATAAGGGGTACCCTAGACCTCTAACCAGTATACTGAGCAGCCATTGTACCTTGATCTTAGAGCATCCTGCACCTCCCCATTTTGTCCTCCATGTTACCAGGCAATAAGGGCATGTTACATACAGTGGGTAGATCCTGTGCTCCACTTTTAAACCCAAGTGGCCTGACCATTTTTGCTATTTTTCCATTGCTTTTTTTTCCCTTACAGCTTTCAGAGTTTGTAAAAGACCCCTTAAACCATACATTTTTGAAAGAACATGACCAGTAGAATTAAAAAAAAAAGGTGCTACTGATTTTTAGGGCCCCATGATAATTGTGGAAACGTTTATGAAAGCAATATTTGCTAAAGATACACTAAAACCCATATTTCGCAGATATAAACCCAGTAAATTTGACAAATTCCTACTAAATATAATGCAATATATATGTATTGAGTTAATACATAACATATACTTGTAAACTTAAAATTGCGCCTTTTGCAAAATGGTGAAAATTGAACGTATGCAAAACTGTAAATAAGTAAATTTCTCTAAAAATCTGATTTTCATTTTTCACTTACAGCTTTCAGAGTTTATAAAAGACCCCCCCCCCCCCCCAAACCATATATTTTCTGAAAACACATGACCAGTAGCATAAAAAGAAGGTGCTTCTGATTTTCAAGGGCCTGAAAATGTTTATCAAAACAATATTTTCCCTAAAAATATACGAAAATCATTATTAGCAAATACAAACAGCACATTTTACACAATTCCTGCTAAATCCCTACTAAATATAAAAGCTTAACCTCTAGAGATTTTCATTTTTCATTTGCAGCTTTCATAGTTCATAAAAGACCTCCAAACCATGCATTTTCTGAAAGCATAGGACCAGTGGAATACATAGAAGGTGCTACTGATTTGTAAGGCACTGAGATATTTGTGCAAATGTTTATCAAATCCCTATATTCACTAACAAAAAAACACTAAAATCTTTATTTGCACACATAAACAACACAGTATACCTTACACAACACCTGCTAAATTCCGACTAAGGCCTTGTTCACTTGGGGTGTACTAAAGAGTATGGAGGGTCGTGTTTACACGCAGGAAATCCTATTCAAATCAGTTGAGACGCAATGGCTGCAAGGTTAGATCTGACATCTGTACGGCTGTAGGAGCATGGTCCCAAAGCAGGCAGTTGATCTGCATTTTTTGCCACCCACCAACCACCCACCTTAACCACTAAGGGACCACCCACAGTACATATACTGCTACAAGGCAGCCCCTGTGCGCAGGATCATGTATATAAACGTGATCCTGCATTCCGGGGTAGAGGGCACACGCCTGCCCTGCCTGCAGCACCGATTGCGGCTGCGGGTGTCAATCACTGGGTCCCGGCCGGTAATCACCCGCCGGAGCCCAGCAATTGCCGGCTAACACTGACGGGGAGGAAGGCTGCATTGTTTTCAATGGAGCTGTCCTCCCTATCAGTTTTCAGCACACTGTTCCGGATTGCTGAGCACAGCTTTCTGGATCAGTGTGTAACAGTGAAGAACACACACCCCCGCCCACAAGTAAAACACTCCCCTCACACAGTTAACCCTTTGATTGCCTCAAAATGTTAACCCCTTCCTCCCCAATGCCATTAGTACAGTGTCAGTTTTTTTTTTTTTTTGCACTGATCACTGTATTGGTGTCACTGGGGATGTCAGTGACCCCAAGTCAGTTCCCCCCCCCCCCCCCCAGTGTCAGAATGTCCGCCGCAGTCCCGCCATAAGTCATAATAAAAAAATTAAAAATCCAGTATCTATACCGCCATTTGTAAACTCTATAACTTTCATGTAAACCAATTAATTTATACGTATTGGGATTTTTTTTTTAGCAAAGACATGTCACAGAATACATTTTGGCCTAAATTTATGACAAAATTAGATTTTTATATTTTTTTACTGGACATGTTTTATAGCAAAAAGTCCAAAATATTGTTTTTTTCTCAAAATTGTCTGTCTTTTTTTATAGTGCAAAAAATAAAAAAATGCACAGGCGATCAAATACCACCAAAAGAAAGCGCAATTCGTGGGGAAAAAAGGACATACATTTCATTTTGGTTCAGCGTTGCATGACCGCGCAATTGTCAGTTAAAGTAACGCAGCGCCATAACACAAACCGCTTATGTAAGCTGCAATAAGTAGTGGACAGAAGTGTTTACATTTGCCCCCACTGCAAAGTTGACCCGACTTGTAGTGATGCAGTCTTCTGAATGCTACATATTCAAGTCAATAGGAATGTGCTGCAACTGTGTGCAATGCATGTGCTTGCAGTGCATTTGTCTGTAAAAAATGGGATAAAATAGTTGGTGAGGGGGCGTCAGCTCGCTTCCTGACCACCAGTCAGTAGTCACCGAAGCGTGATTTGAATGTGGATCGAGCTTCAGAGGCAAGGGAGATTTAGACGAATGTCTATATCTACCTTTACTAGTTTTTTTTTTTTTTAATTTGTTTTACAATTTTATTTATTGTTATATACATTTTTTTTTTGGGGGGGGGGGCACCTCAAACGCCCTGCAACTGCGTGCAATCCATGCAGTTGCAGCACATTTGCAACAAAAATAACATATAAAACAGGTGGTAAGGAGGAGGCACAGACTTTCTTTCTCACTCTGTCAGTGGTCTCTGGAGCACAATCTGAATTCGGATCGAGCTTCAGAGGTAAGAGAGATTTAGACTACCCTTATCTCTAAATCTACCCTTACTAGGTTCTTTTTACAATGTTATTTTTTCTTTTTACAAGTAGATTTTTATTTTTAATTTTTTTTTTTTTTTTCTTTTGGGGGGGGGGGGGGCTTTGGAGAGACATCAAGTGTAAGGTCTATTTTTTGAGACAAAGGGACAGAAGACAGTCCCTTTCTTTGCAGCCTGCGCTGTACTGTACATGAACAAATAGAAGTCTGTATAGACTCTTATTCATTCACAAAATTACATAG